CAGGAGGCCGGCCCGGGGGTGCGGGCGACAGGCAGGCGGCACCAGGGCAGCGGCGCAGCCCGCGCATCACAGCCCAGGCGGGAAACCAGGAGGGCAGGCGGCCCCACACCGCCGCCGGCACGCCAGCCTCCCTGCCGCCGCAGCCCGCGGCCGGCCACTCTCAGCTGCCGCCAGGGGGGCCACCCCCCTGCCTGCTGACCTGCACGCGGTGCTGTGTGGCGCGGCGGGACGTGACAGGCAGTATGAGGGTGGAGGCAGCCAGGTCCAGGCCGATGCCGATCGAGATGTTGGCCAGCCGCCAGCAGGCGGTCACCCACTGCACGCTCTCAGCCACGTAGCCTGCAGGGGCAAGCAGGCAGGCGGGCGGGCGATGGCGGTGGCGGTGGCGGCAGGGCCGGGCAGGTGTGTGGGGTGGTGATGGCTGCGGCGGTTTCGGCACACGGCTGGGAGGCCGGCACACACACGCCGGCGGGTGGGCAACGCAGCGCCGAGCAGAGTGCACAGCATTGCCGGGCGCTGCGGCGGCGTGGCGGCTGCCTCCCAGCTGCCGCCTGGGCGCAGGGCCCCCACCCCGCCGCACCTGACAGCGCGATGATGGGCGTGGTGAACTTGGCGCAGGACCAGGCGTAGCCGTACGGTACCGCAAAGCGCACGTGGTTGGCCATCAGTACCGCCAGTACCATGGACAGGAAGGAGGTCATGGCGATGAACTTGGGGGGCTGGTTCCCGTAGTGCCCGCCGTTGCACAGTACCGCCAAGCCCAGCACGCTGCGCGGCGGCACAGCGGGGGCGGGGCAAGGGGGGGACATGTGAGCGTCTGGCAGACGAAGCAGGGAGAGGGAGGGAGAGGGGAGCGAGGCCTCGACAGGAGCGCGCGCTTGTGTGTGAACAGCAGGGCCAGGGCTGGCGCCGCAGAGGCGCCGGCCCTTCAGGGGAGGCGTCGCAAGGTGCGAGGCAGAGCGTCGGAGAGGCGGAGGGGGGTGTGCGGGCAAGGGCGGCCCGCGGCAGGCCGCACCCCGCGCCCAGCAGCCCCGCCGCCCCCGTGCCCACGATGCGCAGCCCGCTCTTCAGCACCAGGCCGCCCATGGCCGACTCCAGCACCACACACACTGCGGGTGGAGGCAGGGGCAGCGGGAGCAGACAGACAGACAGGGGAGGCAGAGGAGGAGGAGGTGAGGGCAAGGGAATCAGCAGCTCTTTGCTTGAATGGCTGCCAAGCTCCTCGCTGCTCGACTGCTGCCAGCGGCTTCAAGCCAGCTGAAACCCAGGCCTTTATGAATCCCACGCCTGCGCCCCCGGCTCCGCCCCTGCCCGCCCACCCACCCACCACCGCCACCTCCGCTGTCGGCCCCACCTGTCACCACCGCCCAGATCGTCTTCTCCTCCAGAGCCCGGTAGCTCGCCTCCACCACGTGCAGCGTGCAGGCAGCCGCCATGGCAGCCGCCAGCTGCAGCGCCAGCGCCAGGTGCTCGCCCGAGAAGCCGGTGCGCTGCTGCACCGCCTGCAGTACCGCCGCCACCCGCCCCGCGCGCGCCTGCGGCGGCAGGTAGAGGGTGGGCGGGAAGCGCTGGGCCACAGTGGCGGCGTCGGGAGCCTGCCACAGCGACTCTGCCAGAAGCTCCTCGGCTGGCGCCGCGCCGCCGCCGCCGCTGCTGCTGCTGCCGCTGACAGTGCCAGCATCGCCGCCGCCGTCGCCCACGCCCCTGCTGGGCAGGTGGTGCCAGCTGGGCAGCTCGGGCAGGCGCCCCGCCGGCGTCGCTGGCTGCTTGTCGGAGTATGGCGGCGAGGGTGGCTGGCCCCGGCCGAACAGCCGCCCCGGTGACAGCTGGCGCCAGATGGGCAGCGTGCGCAGCCGCCCACCTGGCTTCTGCTGCCGCCGCTGCCGCTCCTGCTGCTGCTGCTGCTGCTGCTCAGCCTCGGGCGACGGCGGCTGCTGTGCCCCAGGCAGCAGCGGCTGCTGGGCGCGGGGCGAGGGCGGCTGCTGCGGGGCTGCGGGCGGCGCCGGCGGCTGCGGGCGCGGCGAGGGCAGCATGGAGGGGCGGGGCGAGGGCAGCAGCATGTCCAGGCCGCCGGCGCCGTCCATGCAGCCCGCCATGGACGGGGTGGTGGCGCGCCGCCGAGCCCGCTGCCTGCAGCCAGGCGGTACCAGCGGTACAGCCGAGTCACGGCAGCTGTGGCGGGCGGTACACACCGCGCAGCACCGCCCGCGAGCAGCTCCCCAGCCGCGCTCCATTGTATGCAAGCCAAGCTGCATCGGCGCCCCGCCCCCGCCCTTCGCCACACACCCGCACCAGCAGCGCACCCGCTCCCCACCGCTCGCTGCCAGCCCACCTGAGCTGCTCCTGCGGCTGCGACAGATCCCACACCTTGCTGCCCTTGAAGTGACGGTAGCAGGCCTGCCGCGCCTGGGGCTGGGAGCGGTGCAGCGCCTCTGGCAGCGTGAAGAACACTCGGCGCACCTGCGGGGGCGTCGGGGGAGGCAGGGGGGCAGGCAGCAGGCGCTGTGGGGTGGGCGGGCGGGCAGGCGGCGGGACGGTTGGGGTGGCAGGACGAGGCGGGACAAGCAGGACGGCCGTGCTGCCTGCTGCCCCTCCCCAATCCCACACAGCCAGCCGGCCAGCCGGCCAGCTCCTCCCCAGGCCGCCACCACCACCACCACCCGGCTCAACCCCCACCCCACCCAACCAAACGCACACCAGCACACCGCCCTCCCTGCCTCCCCCCTCACTCACTCACCCGCGTACCCAGGCTGAACAGGGTGCCCACCAGCATGTCTGAGGTGAGCACCTCGTTCTCGCCCCAGCTGCTGTTGAGC